TGTGTGAGAGAGTGTGTGTGTGTGTGTGTGAGTGAGAGAGTGTGTGTGTGTGTGTGTGTGTGTGTGTGTGTGTGTGAGTGTGTGTGTGTGAGTGTGAGTGAGAGAGAGAGAGTGTGTGTGTTTGTGTGTGTGTATATGTTACTCGAAGGTTCTTTTATGCTCTTGACTATTTAAAAATCGCATTGCAGCGTTCAATTAATTGCTGTTTATTTTATGACATAGTTTATATAATCGATAAATGAAAACAAACCTCTTTACAAACTGCTTCTTCTTCATGCTGTCACTCTGAGCGCATGTCTCTGTAAAAACCTGATCTGTCAGATGTTTCAGAAACTTCAACGCGCCAAATGTTGATGTTGAAGCTTCTCACGCAAACACGTTTATCCCGCTCGCACGCGTGTGCGTGGAGTTCATCGGCCTCCCGGAAACCACGACTACTGATTATCAGTTCCTGGCGCGGATTAATTCTCGCTCCTCCATAAACATATCAAATACACGCGTTTAAATGGAAAAAAGAGCATGTATATATTATTTTATCATCTGTTTGACTGAAACGCGTGTAACAACTCTAACAGCAGCGCTCCCGAAGCCACGGGTTGTTTCTCATCGGCGCGGGACCTCGTGACGTCACTTCCTGTCGCCGGTTCTGCAGGTAGGAATGATGCAGGAACATTTATTCTGTTATTATTTTTATAGTTCTTCATTATGTAATGCATGATTCTTCTGGTCTATACTTATAGGGAATGTTTTATAATGATGGTTTAGTATATAGAAACACGAATTTCTCATCGCATTTGTCACTCGTATCTCTATATCCGATCTTTATTATGAAAAACTGATCATTTAGCTCTTAAATATATGTTGTCAGTGTATTGTATATTGTATTCGAGGTTTTTTCATTCAAAAATGGCCACATTTTCCTTCGTGTTTTCCAACCTTTCTCTGATTTGTAAGGTTTTATGAGTTTTTTTTTTTAATTTGTGATTTAATTTTGATATTACGCTAATTTAGATATTTTCTTTCTTTTCCTATGTAATTAGTTCATATTTGAGATATGATTGTGATCTCCCTGCTCTTGCTCGTATGGGATTTTGTGTATGTATATATAATTAGATTAGCTCTGATCTGCTATTTAAGCTTCTTGTTCTTATTCTTCTTCAGAGAACTACATTTCTGACTCTAACTCCTCCTAGAGCTTTAACTCTACAACCACTAAACTCAGCCCAGCTCTTCAGACTGTTCTGACTGAGTGTGCTTGCTCTTTTCAAACTGATCGGACTTATGGTTTTCCTAAAAATGAAGATTAAAAATCATAAAAATCCCATAGACTTACATTGATGGAATGTTCAAATGAGCCAAGACTATTCAAACTCCAACTGTCAAAATTCAAATTTAAACTCCCAGAATCCCTTGAGACTCAACCAGTCTTCCCTTCAATGTACTATTTCTAATCTACATGCTAGCAATGTGTTAAATCATGCTAGAAACAAGCTAGCAACATGCTAATCATGTTAACAACATGCTAGCAACAGGCTAGTCATGCTGAAAACAGGCTAGCAACATGATAATCAAGTTAGCAAAATGCTAACATCATTCTACTCATGTAGAAAAATGCTAACTACATGCTAGTCATGTTAGAACAATTCTAATGACATGGTGGAAACATACTAATCATGCTAGCAACATGCAAACAAAATGATAATCATGTTAGAAACATGATATCAACATGCTAATAATGTAAGTAAAATGCTAACTACATGCTAATAATGTTAGCAACATGCTAACTACATGTTAATCATGCTAACAACATGCTAGCAATATGCTAATCATACTAGAAACATGCTAACTACATGGTAACTACATTTTAAACATGCAAACAAAATGATAATCATGTTAGAAACATGATATCAACATGCTAGTAATGTTAGCAACATGCTAACTACATTTTAATCATGCTAACAAAATGATAATCATGATAGAAACAGGTTACCAACATGCTAACTACATGTTAATCATGCTAACAACATGCTAGCAATATGCTAATCATACTAGAAACATGCTAGCAACATGTTAACTACATGGTAACTACATTTTAAACATGCAAACAAAATGATAATCATGTTAGAAACATGATATCAACATGCTAGTAATGTTAGCAACATGCTAACTACATTTTAATCATGCTAACAAAATGATAATCATGATAGAAACAGGTTACCAACATGTTAATCATGCTAGCAACATGCTAATCATGTTAAAACATGCAACTTGTTAAATCATGTTATTAATATGTTTAATAATGCTAGCAACATGCTAATCATGTTAAAACATGCAACTTGTTAAATCATGTTATTAATATGTTTAATAATGCTAGCAACATGCTAATCATGTTAAAAACATGCTAGCAACAGGCTAGTCATGCTGAAAACAGGCTAGCAACATGATAATCAAGTTAGCAAAATGCTAACATCATTCTACTCATGTAGAAAAATGCTAACTACATGCTAGTCATGTTAGAACAATTCTAATGACATGGTGGAAACATACTAATCATGCTAGCAACATGCAAACAAAATGATAATCATGTTAGAAACATGATATCAACATGCTAATAATGTAAGTAAAATGCTAACTACATGCTAATAATGTTAGCAACATGCTAACTACATGTTAATCATGCTAACAACATGCTAGCAATATGCTAATCATACTAGAAACATGCTAGCAACATGTTAACTACATGGTAACTACATTTTAAACATGCAAACAAAATGATAATCATGTTAGAAACATGATATCAACATGCTAGTAATGTTAGCAACATGCTAACTACATTTTAATCATGCTAACAAAATGATAATCATGATAGAAACAGGTTACCAACATGCTAACTACATGTTAATCATGCTAACAACATGCTAGCAATATGCTAATCATACTAGAAACATGCTAGCAACATGTTAACTACATGGTAACTACATTTTAAACATGCAAACAAAATGATAATCATGTTAGAAACATGATATCAACATGCTAATAATGTAAGTAAAATGCTAACTACATGCTAATAATGTTAGCAACATGCTAACTACATGTTAATCATGCTAACAACATGCTAGCAATATGCTAATCATACTAGAAACATGCTAGCAACATGCTAACTACATGGTAACTACATTTTAAACATGCAAACAAAATGATAATCATGTTAGAAACATGATATCAACATGCTAATAATGTAAGTAAAATGCTAACTACATGCTAATAATGTTAGCAACATGCTAACTACATGTTAATCATGCTAACAACATGCTAGCAATATGCTAATCATACTAGAAACATGCTAGCAACATGTTAACTACATGGTAACTACATTTTAAACATGCAAACAAAATGATAATCATGTTAGAAACATGATATCAACATGCTAGTAATGTTAGCAACATGCTAACTACATTTTAATCATGCTAACAAAATGATAATCATGATAGAAACAGGTTACCAACATGTTAATCATGCTAGCAACATGCTAATCATGTTAAAACATGCAACTTGTTAAATCATGTTATTAATATGTTTAATAATGCTAGCAACATGCTAATCATGTTAAAAACATGCTAACAACATGTTAATCATGCTAGCACATGCTATTAACATCTATCTAATCTAACTAAATTTTCAAACTTCAAGCTTTTAGAGCAGTTTCAAACTTTCAGGCTAGGCTTTCTCAAGCCAACCTCAAGGTTTGTCTTGAACTTTTTTTTATCTAGTTTCAAATATTGTTATAATTTCATGTAAATAATTGAATTGTTTTATGATGCTTTAATGCTTTTTAGGGTCTGTTAGTATAGTAATATATGTTGCGTTCGGGTTTCATGATCCCGATGTGCAAAAAAAAAAGTGATTTTAGATGGTTCGATCTGATTTGTCTCTCACGTTTTCTCAGTGATTGATACAGATCCTCATCATCCTCGTCGTCTGATGAAGACTCAGGAGGATGCTGTGGGCAGACGGATGAGCTGTGATGGAGAGAGAGGAACAGTCCGTTATGTGGGTCCGGTTCCTCCCACCGCAGGTCCGTCTCGGTTCATTCAGCATTATATGATGTTCAGCTTCTTCACAATCAGTTTGATGTTCCTCTGTCTTCTGTACCTGCAGGTGTGTGGCTGGGAGTGGAGTGGGATGATCCAGAGAGAGGAAAACACGACGGGGGTCATGAAGGGGTGCGATACTTCACCTGCAGGTGCTCATCACTGACAAAACAACTACAGTCAATGATATCAATTAAGGATGCACCGAAATGAAAATTCTTGGCCGAAGCCGAAACCGAACAAAATGAAACACTGGGCCGAATACCGAACACGGTTTGTCGAATTTTTTCCCCCATGTATTTTGCCAATTTTTTTCACCATTGCATAAATTAAATAGCCAAAATGTGCTTTTTACTGTTTTGTCTTGCTTTTCAAAGAAAAAATCTATTACAAAACAACAGTTTAAAAGTATTTAACACTGAACATTTTTTAACATTCTAGCAGACATTATACCAACAAAGCACAATTTAACTTAAAATTAATAAGTTAGTAAAATAATATTTTTTGGCATTTCAGGCATGTATTTTTACTGTACAATTAAAAGCAGCCTTGCTGAGCAGAAGAGCCTTCTTTTAAAACATTAGAAAGTATTACAGATCCCAATTTGAACACTATGTGTGTATGTTATAAGAAATGCATTAACAGAGCTGTTGTAATGATTATTATCATTATATTGTCTTACTACTTATTTTTTCAGAACAACCGTAAAATTACAATACTAACGTTTATGAATGTTGATGGAGTTCTTGCTTTTTCCTCAACTTTTATTTTGGCGGAAACGCGCAGGAAGACCTCAATGCTTATTTTTGTTGACAGCAGATTTATAAATGAGTCTCATTACGAATACGTCACACGTATCGCATTGTCACATGCCTTGTAAAAATTCATAAAA